ATAAACTTAATAAATAATTTATTAGCCACTACTGTATTTATAGGCAAACGTAAACTAATTACAACAAATAAAACGAAAAGAAAACAATAAAAAAAATATTATAAACAAATGCAAGAAAGAGTGTCGTTATGAATATTAATAAAAAAATGTCAACAAAAACTGGTATTGCTCTCAATGAACGCTTATCAGTGCCACAGCACTGTTATACGACTGTGCATTAGCAGAGCCAAGCTGAACCGTTTCGTTCTCTCTCTCTCCCCGTTTGTGCTACGGTGCTTTGAGCTCTTAATTGCTGAGTTACCTTGAAGCACGACACTTGCTTCTACTTTTTTTTTCTGTCTGTTTTAACAAATTTAGTTAAACGCTTTGGCTTTGCACATTCGGTGAAGTTACTCTGCATTTTTTGTTTACGTGTTGATCGCGTGAGTCAGTTTTCGTTGATCTCCGCCGTTCTTTGTTAAAATTTCTACAAATTTTCTTTTTTTTAATGAGATTAGAACAAAAATTTGGAATCTTTTCTAATTATGCAATAAATAAAATAATAATATTTAATATATTGTCTATAATAATATTAGAAGTGTTTGTTATCATAAAAGTGTGAATAAATTAAAAACTCTCTTGAGTTTATTAGAAACTCTGTAATTACATTTTAATAGTTAAAAGTGTTAATTAATAGTATAAATAATTATGCAATAAATAAATTAAAGAATTTTATAAAAAAAATATTTGTTTCATTGAAAAAAAAACCAAAAAAAGTTTGTCAAAAATTAAAATAAAATATAAGAAGAAGGTTATCAGAACAAAAACAAAAAGTTGAGCACTGCCAAATCATCTGATAAGATACGAGCACTGCAGAAGGTAAGTGAAGAGTAATTACATCAACAAAGCAAATTCAAATGAACAAAATAATAACAACAACAAGTATAACACATATTTATTTTAATTTAAAAATGTTTATATGAAATACTTTTATTAAAATTATTATTAATATTTTAATAATTATTATTTATATTAATAATTAATTATATTATTATTAATAATTCAAAAAAATGGCAATAAATTGCTTGGGTTGTCTAGGCATGTAGGGCACTCGGGGTGGAAAATTGTCTCTTGGCTCGCTTGATGTATTATAGTGGGTGTCTACTGGGTTCGTTAGATCAGTTAAAGTACTTGAGATTCAAGTAACTCAAGCAATCTGAAGTGAATTAACTGGTTTAATCTGATCCTTATTAAGCCTTTAGATATAGTATGTTTCCACTTTCTTCGTTAGATCAGTTAACTACTTGAGTTTGCTTAAATCTACTATTATATATATACTATTATACTATTATAATAATATTAAATACATAAGTATATACAAATATTTCTGCATATAGTTTTATAGAGTTAAATATGTATAATATACATTGTATATACCTTCTGCTCAAAAAGTATTTTGTTGTTTGTTAACTACTCCTTAAGTGATAGACCTTTTTCAAAATTTTTTTGTTATGTTGGTACACCTTTTCTGGATATATGGTACAAATTTGAGCGTTTTATTCAAATTTGTGTGTTTTGTTTACAAAATCCGAGTACTTTTTGAGTTGGAGGTATTCCACATTTTGTAACCATTAATAATGTTAGTGATTGTAATAATATTTATTCAATTTCACGTATGTTCCAACTTTTTTTAAAACTATAATTTTTAATTATAAACTTTAGGAAGGTTAATTATTTATTAATAATGATAGTTTATAGAACTAATACTAACATGTACAGATATAGCGCTGGCTAATGAAGCCTACAGCTATGTGTTATGACAGATACTAAATGCTTATAATTATATAGTTGTATAGGATGTTTATACAATATAATACTATAATGCATATACTATAATAGATTATGTATCGATGGTTATTTGTATAAAAAACACAAACCTTTTTCAATTTTTTTTATTTAAAAATTTTGTTTTTGAAACGGGCTAATTGCTAAAAATAATTATTTTAAAATAATTAAAAATAAGTTTTTAAATATTTTTTTATTTATACCAATATTTCGATATTGGTATTCAGTATTTTAAAAACTAATTTTTAAAAAATTGTGTTATTTAACAATTGACTAAATGGCTGATTTCAATAACAAAAATTTTTAATAATAAATTTGGTCATTGAAACAATAACTTATAAATTTTATTTGAAAATACCAGTGTAAATTTAAGTTAATAGAGTTCTGAAAGAGGCTACTGGTATAACATAGGATTGGGGCGCTACTATTGGAACTCAATTGTATTCATCCAAAATCTCTCCATCAACTTATATAGCATATAAACACTTTACTATTTCTAAAATAACTTGTTCATACTTTGAATAGAAAACTATATGTCAGCTACCACTTGATATTAGCCAAGTCTTTCTTCCTTGGCAACTTTTTGTTGTTAGGTGCCAAATCTGGAGTATATAATAATTAGAAAAACGATTTAAAGTCTATTTCGTATTTTGTTAAAATTTTTATATAAACGACATGTTATTATGTTTATAAAAATTATAAACATATTGATATTTATAATATTCTTTATACGTTTCATATACAGTGCAGTTTTCTTTAAAAAATATTTTCAGTAATAAAATAATTTAAATTTCAAAAAATGTGGAGATATCAATATCTACTGCATTTATTATATTAATTTTTATAATTTTTTTTTTATGGATTCCTAAAGAAAAGCCTTATATTCTGTGCAATACTAATTAGTTTGATATTTGTTTATAATTTTATTCATTTAAAAAATTGCTATAGAATTCTTTTTGGAGTAGAACGTAGTTAGCGCTTTGGAATGCAGTTTCTTACTTTTGCAATTATTTCGCTCTGCTTCAGCTGGGTGCACTTATCACCAACTTTTTTTTAAAAGAAACTTATATATTTCATGCATATTAAGTAACAATTCGTTTTCCATAAAAGATACATATAAACAATAAATCGTAGTTACATCAAAGCGCGTTGAATAACATATCATCTGAATGTTGCCAATTTTATTAACTGACGTCATCATACTGACGTAATTAATAAATGTATTCATACAAAAGAAATCCATAACTAATCCATCATCTGAAAAATGGTTAAAAAAGCAAATAAATCTAAAAATGTAAAAAAATATTAAAAAAATATTTATTTTTATAGAAGAGAAAGATTAAAAATGAGTACAGAGTGCTTTGAGAGCTTAGAGATTTAATTACTAAGTCTTGGTAATATAATGATTTATATAACATTATTGCATAAAGCTTTTTACTTTAATATATTTATGATATTATGTATAAAATCAAACTTTTAAATATAAATACTTTTAGACAAATGTATGTCTTTATATCGAAATACTATAAAACCAACTGAAATCAAATACATTGCAAAGTAAAAAATCTTTTATTTTAGTGGATTTTTTTTTGTGAATTATTTTTGATAATTTCTTATATTGATTTTGGTTTGTTTTTTTTTTTGTAATATATTTCCGACGTTAAATAGGTAATTGTGTCAGTAACACATATTTCACAAGAAACCCGTAAAGATATAACTAACGCTTTTTTGTGTTTATCTTTGGACAATCCTTGAAACTGTCAAGGAAGTATTTTCCTAATACTTTGTACTGTTAGGTAGTCAAAGCCCTAAGCAATCACAGATAAAATGCGTTATTGTTTTTTATAGACCTAAGTTTTTACCTCATCTACAATGAGTATTAAAAGGAATCCATAATTTCTATGTGTAAGTTCCATGTAACTAGTTGTCTGTAATAGCTGCCAATACCATTACCCTATTGATGTGATTTCTCTTAACGAGTTTCAAAGACCTGGTCTTATTACACAAAAATGAGGTCACTAAGAAAATTACCTTTTAGTGTACTCTCTACTTTTCTCTAGTTAAAATAGTCAGTAAATATAATCAGTAAATATTCTTTAAGGCATGAGTTAAGATTCGTCATCTGCTTGCTCAATCCATCAATGTTCCCATGTTGATCTTCTTATAAGTACGTCTATTTAGTTTATGAATAATAATGAATACTCCATGAATAGATCCCTCTTTGAAATTCAATCAGTATATTTTCGGAGTAAAGTGTACCTGTCGTGAATATTTTGCAAATCTAGGTGTAAATCTAGTGCCATTAAGCCTAGATGCCCGCAACATTTTATTGCCCCATAAAAATGAGTTTGTTCTTTCGGAAAGCGTTATGGTGACCGAGGTTGTATAATATAATATGTAAGTTGAGTTGTTGTTAAGGACTGATTTATTTAATCTATATTTTATCACGTTATTTAATTTAGATACCAGTTTGTAACTAAATTTCTAATTCGTAGCTATAGAAAGTTAATAAAATTTCTTCGGTTTCAAGAAATCTTTGTTTATAACGAATTGCTCGGTATTTAATTGCAATAAACCGATTTTTTTTTCAGTTCGTTCATCATGATAAAAGTATTTGATATTTACTACAAATATATAAATCATATGATGTAAGTTTGGTGTTTCAAAAATTATATCGCAATAAATTGACTACAAATATAAAAATTCTACAAGTTCCAAATTACCATATATTCTTTCGAGCTGTGATGCAAAATCACAAGAATGTCTTTATATTTTTAAAATATTTATTAAATTTATAATTCAATTCCAACTAATTACCGTTTTCATATATATAGGAAAATTAGGTTATTTTTTAAATTATTGCTTGTATCAAGCAGCAGTATGCTACACTATGCCATATCACCATGGCTTGCTAGCAGGTTTCATTTGAACATTTTTAATATAATTTAATTTTGAATTTTTTTGAAATTAATTAGGAAAATATAAACATTCAGGTTTTTAATAATTTTTCCAATAAGCTAACGAAATTGCGACCATAGAATATTTTAATGGTGTTTTTATATATGTGCGTAAAAAGTTCCCTTTGATCGCAGTGTATATAGAACGTAAATATTAATATTGAATATTAATATATTAATATTAAATATTAATATTAGTTTTATTTCTAAAAGTTTTTAATACGTTAGACCAAGAAGACTCCTGAAGCAGGTATAAAGACTAAAGACATGACTCCCTCAAGCAAATATATAATTTTACTAAATGACATAACGTGCTGAAAAGTATTAAGAGAAACGCTAAAAGTGTTGTAAAAATATATATTTTGATATTAAATATAGGTGTCGTTTAAGTCATGAATTT